AGGGGGCAAAGGGGGGGAAATGGGGGACATCTGTAATGCTGTCAACAGTAAAAAAATATATTTAAAAAAATAAAAAGAAATATGAAGCGAAACTCAAAAAAATAAAATGAATGGAGGGAAAACAGGAGCTGGGACTGGAAAGTGATGGCTATTAGAGTGACAGAGCCGAGCGGCATCCTCCTGCAGACTCAGGAGAATTTCAGGACCGGGAGCCACCTGGGGTTCCCTCTCCCAGCTGACAAAGTGAGGCTCTCCCCCCAGGAGGACTACCCTGCCTACTGCGGTGCCCACAAGTGACCGCTTCCTATCCTCTGTCTTCCTAATATTTTCCTTTTTAAATGACCTCTGGGAGGCTCCTGCTGGGCCTGCTTAGAGAGCATGTCCTTCCCGCCCTTAGGAGCTGAACACGGGAACTCAAGTGCCCTCCAAGCATTCGCCCTTCATCACTGCTGTGGATGTCGGGCTCGGCGAGGGATGCGCCACTGGTGTTCGAGATGCCAGCAAGGAAATGAACACCTGGGACCCAGTGGTGCCAATCGCTTGTGGCAACAGAGAGGGAGGCAAGCGTCCAGTGAGTGACACAGTATGCCCAGGACGGCCTGTGCGCGAAGGCCGCAGACACCCTTGTTTAAGTGACAGGCGCCTGCCAGTGGGTTCGGCCTGCGAGGTCCACGGGTGAAACGTGAGCTGGGTGTTTTCAGATAACACAGCAGAGCGCAGGGGACGGCAGGCAGAGGCCACTGAAAAATTACAACGTGGGCTCACGGCGGCTGTCCAGGGAGGTATAATCTTCATCTCAGAGAAGCGACTGGACGCATCCTCTTAGTGATCACAAGTTGTCAGGCGCGGGGAAGTTAAGCTCCCAGCAGTGAAAAGGGGGGAAGGAAAAGAAAGCCGCCTGAACGATCGTCGTGGGAAAGCTATGACGGGAATGAATCTCTACGAGGGAAGGAGTTGGGTAAATCTGAAGTCTCACTCTCGGGAACCAGAGTGAGGACTGAGAAGCTGGCTAGCGAGACGTGGGGACGGCCTTCTGGTGGTAAAGAGAGGTTAGAGCACAGAAGACAGCTGAGGGCCCAGCTGTGGCTCTTGTTTAAAAAAAACATGTTTTTATTGGTTTCAGACAGAGGAAGGGAGAGAGAGAGAAACATCAGTGACGAGAGAGTCATTGATCGGCTGCCTCCTGCCGCCCCCGACTGGGGATCGAGCCCGCAACCCGGGCATGTGCCCCGACCGGGAACTGAACTGTGATCCCCTGGACCCTAGGCTGATGCTCAACCCCTGAGCCACACCGGCTGGGCCCAGCTATGGTTCTTAATACTAATCGAGTTGAGCATCTCGCTCTACCTCCCCTTTGCCTCATGGTCTGAAGGTCAGGGCCAGAGAGCTGGGAGAGGCCCTGAAGGTCTTTTGACTCCACTTTCCACTTAAGCAGAAACTTTCCAGAAAGCATCACTCACAGGCGCCCGTTCAGCGGCTGTCTGAACTGTTCCAGAGTTTGGGGGTTTCTCACCACCCCAGGCACCCTACAGCTTGTTCTCAGACAGCTGGAGACAGCGATCGCTGGAAAATGCTGGGCGGAAACCCGCTCTCTCTGCTGCTCCGCGGGCCCCCGTCCGTCTCCCTGAGCCAAGTCCACTTGTTACCGAGCCGCCCTCCAAGCACCGGCTGACGCCTGTCACGCGTCAAGTCCTGCGCTTACCGACCTGCTTCATCCCTCTATGAAAAACCCTCACCAGAGACGGGCTCGCCTGCATCACTGTCTGCTGTTCCAAGGACGAGGCTCTCTTCTGTTTTGTTTTGTTAATCGTCACTCAGGATATATTTTTCAGAGAGAGAAGAAGGGGGGGGGGAGAGGGAGAGAAACACCGACCGGGCTGCCTCCCGTATGGACCCCGACCAGGCACCGAACCCGGAATCCAGGTATATGCCCTGACCTGGCACTGAACCCACAACCTTTCGGGGTGCGAGATGACTCTCCAACCAACGGAGCCACCGGGCCGGGGCTGGACTGCCTTTTGATGCCACGCTCGAGACGCTCGCCCTCCAGCTCCCGTATCCCAGCCCACCCTCGGCCAGCTCAGTGCCACCCACTCTCTCAGCCCATCTCCGCCACTCACTGTCGCCCGTGACATGAGCGTGGAAGCACTTTTTCCGCTTTGGCTTCACCTTATGTAGAGGTGCGGCTCACGGGTGACTATAAATTCCACAAGCAGCTGGCAAAATATTCTGCAGAGCCCTGGTGCAAACAGGCTCCAGACAGTCCCTGCGCGCTGACATTTTTTTCAGGTGGAAAGCGAGCGAGGAAACCTCCAGAGCCGGGCCGTCCAATACGGTAGACATATGTGGCCATTACGCCTCGCAATATGGCCAGTCCTAATTGAGCTGTTTTGTTTAAGTACCAAACACACGTCTGCCTGCACAGACTGCGGGGAAAATGTAAACTATCTCCTTGATCATTTAAATTATGTGTTGAAATGATGGTAGTTTAGATATTTTGGGTATGGTTAAGTTGTTAAAATCCATTTCTATTTGTTTATTTTTTTTACTTTTTAAAATGTGGATAACAAATCATCGAAGGTTGCGTATCTGGTTTACACGATTTTCTACCGGGCGGCGGCTAATGCAGAGAATCTGCCTGGCGGCCCTTAGATACGAGCAAGCCGGCTGTGTATAGATAGGATGCAAAGTTGGTGTAGAATTCAAAAGCAGGAAAGGTTATGAATGACAGCAGGAGGCTTCTGCTCCGGTTTTTAAATTTATGTTCCCTGAACACACCGACATGCCACCTGCCCTGACAGGTTTTTAAGAAGGTCTGAGAATCCTCAGAGAAATGAGGCTGAACCAAGCTACCCGACATCCGTCCAAGGCTCGCTGGATGGTGCCTAACCTCAGAGGCTTCAAATCAGTATTGCGTGGTGCCATTTATTTTTCCCTGGCATTTAAATGTCCCTTAGATGGATTACCGTTAGGTTTTTGGTTAAGATTCAGTGATGGAAGTGATAGCAAGGGTGGCGATAAGTTATGTAGATATCGTTTAATTTACGAACTCTGGGGCTCCAGGGCACCTTCCAGTTCAAGAAATATATTAACCACACACATCAGCCTTCGTTTCGTGGTGACGGTTTTCCAGCTGGGTCCCTATTGTGCCACTAAATTTATGGTCTGTACGGATCCACGGACAATATTTCAATGTAAGTTGTTCCGGACACCGGAGGGGGCTGAGTCGGGCCTCAAAGAAGCCCGCCCAACAGCTGACGAATTGTCCTCTCTCCTGTCGGCTGGGGACATTATGCAGCTTTTATTTTACTTTTTAAAGGACAAACATGGATCGTTGGTGCTTCTAAATGAAACCTAAGAAAGAAAAGTCTACTCAGCGCCTATAGCGGGTGATAAGCTTGCTTTCTTCATCACGGTGTGTTGAGAGGTAGAGGAATGAAAAGAAAGTGAAAATCGGAAGAGACAGAGAAAAATAAACCTCTGCTCTTTCCCAAAGCGGACTCTGAAAAATACCTGAACTTTAAGTTCAGCTACCTGCAGAACTTGTTAGGAAGATGGCATTTGGGCGCCGGCGGCTGCGGCTCCGTGGTTAGGGCCTCAGCCTGCGCACCGGAGACTCTCAGGCCTGATTCCCTGGCAAGTGGGGGTACCCGGGCAGCAGGCTTGATCCCCACTTGGGGCGCGAGCAGGAGGCAACCCATGGCTGGGTCTCCCTCACATCGATGTTTCTCTCTTTCCCTCCCGCTCTCCCTCCTCCCTTCCGATCTCTCTAAAAAAGTCAATGGAAAAAATATCCTCAGGTGAGGATTGACAATAACAATAATAATAAAGAAAATGGCATTTGGGTTGGAAGCAATGACCTTGAATGCCCCCTCCAACCTCAGTGACCTCCGTGACTCACTAGGGAGCGGGAGGTGCTGTCAGCAGCTTTTCAAGGGGGCCAGGGCCAGCGGTGGGGCCTTTTTCTGCTCTGCGCCGCTGCGGGGCGGCCTGGACACGCAGGGTGAGCCATGCTGCGCAGGGGGGCAGCCCCCCGAGTTACTTACGTCGGCAGCCGGAGTGCCAGGAATTCCCCGGCAGACACTCATCACACTTAGGCCCTGTGGTTCCAGTCTTACACTCACAGAATCCCGAGCCATTACAACGGTCATGGACTGAGCCCCAAGGGTTACAATAACACTCTGTAGAAACAAGACAACACACAGCTGCAGAGAAGCCCGCGTGGCCCCGGGGGTGCCGACACCCACGCGCACTTACACCCGCGCGTCGCTCACTCAGAGAAATCCGCGCTGATGAAACGCCCGGCACCTGCGGCCGCTGCAGGCCCGTTCGTTTATCCGCTCGGCCTTGCGCGGGATCATTTTTATGACACCGGAGGAAATCAACGGCAACCTTCCAAGGAAATAAGACATCGTGCTCCCTGCCGCTAACAGGGCATAATGGAGATTCCATTTGTCCGGCCCTTTTCAGATGGTCTCAGGAACCCCGCAAGAAGTTTATATATCAAGGATAAATCGATAGGCCATCAGTGTAAAAATCTGTTTTAAATTATTCAAATGGGCTTCTCTGCTATGCTCGCTATCTGAGAAGTGCGGAACATTTTTAAAGTGCAGTATGAATGCACTTTGTTCGTTCAGAGGCCGATTGTGCTTTACCCTTTGGGACAGCACCCTACAGATACTGTGTGTACAGCACCCCACGGATACTGTACCTACAGCACCCCACGGATACTGTACCTACAGCACCCCACGGATACTGTACCTACAGCACCCCACGGATACTGTACCTACAGCACCCCACGGATACTGTACCTACAGCACCCCACGGATACTGTACCTACAGCACCCTACGGATCCTGTACCTACAGCACCCTACAGACACTGTACCTACAGCACCCCACGGATACTGTATCTACAGCACCCTACGGATACTGTATCTACAGCAGCCTACAGATACTGTACCTACAGCAGCCTACAGATACTGTACCTACAGCACCCTACAGATACTGTACCTACAGCAGCCTACAGATACTGTACCTACAGTACCCTACAGATACTGTATCTACAGCACCCTACAGATACTGTACCTACAGCACCCTACAGATACTGTATCTACAGCACCCTACAGACACTGTACCTACAGCATCCCACGGATACTGTATCTACAGCACCCTACAGATACTGTATGTACGAGGCCAGCACAGCTCTTAGGCAGCTGGGGGAAGAAAAACAGACACTATAATCCTTTCAACATCTTTTTCATTATACTGTCCGCTGGAAGGACCATGGACCTTTGTGTAATAAAAAGGAAATGGAGTATTTCCTTGACGCCTCGCACATTCTTACACAGCAGGGGTGGGGAACGTGCGGCCTGCGGGTCACGCATGGCCCGAGAAACCATTCGGTCTGGCCCGGCCCGGCCAAGGCAGCCACAGGCGGGCCCCTCGAAAGTCAATATATCCAGGAGCTTTTCTCATAGCTAATTTTTAAGGTGATCATTTTGTATGGCCCACGAATGATGTCGTAAATCTCCAAATGGCCCTTGGCAGAAAAAAGGTTCCCCACCCCGGTTCTATAAGCTGTTTTTACTTCCCAAGCACTGTTTCGCTTAAAGGCCGGACCAGCGCTCCTTAGGCCTCCACTAGCCCGACAGGTAGCACCAGGGAGCCTGCAGCCGGTGGACTGCGTGGGACAAAGTTTCTCCCCTTGTGGCCCCGCCGTGGAATCTTGGGCAAGTTCTTACGCTCCTCTGTCTCTGTCTCTTTGTCTCNCCCGCCGTGGAATCTTGGGCAAGTTCTTACGCTCCTCTGTCTCTGTCTCTATCTCTGTCTGNGGCAAGTTCTTACGCTCCTCTGTCTCTGTCTCTTTGTCTCTATTTAAAAACGGTCCCGTGAAGAGGCTTTCTTGTTAAAAGAAAACACAAACAAAATCATACCAAGCAAACAACGGAACAACCACCATGAACGGCCCTGGGAATTTCAGTTTAATATCAGCAGATTGAACATCTATTAGCAATGGAGATTCGCGGCTTAACATCATAGAGACGGCCAGAGATTTGGCTCTAACTCTTTTTGTCATGGGAACTAATTAGATAATTTCTTCAAAGAGTGTGGAGTACCTCAGAACTGTGATTTATTTCGTGTGGATTAAGTCAATTTCTTTTTTAGTTCAGCATTCTTCTGATACAAACATTTATAAGACTAATAGTGATATACACAGGTAAAAATAAAACTAAATTAACTCTCAAATGCTCTCTCCTTGACTGGCTTGGCTTGTCCTTAAAAACTAGAGTTTTATTTTACAGTGGCATTTTCTATTTTAATATGTGTGTTTAGGGGGCTGCTTAAAAATTTTTTAAATAGTAATTTTGTTGTGGCTTTAAGATGAAGTATGCATCTATCCCAAAACTGGAATATGCTTTTTACTTTTTAAGGTGTATAAGCTGACAATAAATCACCAACATTTTGTAAGCCAGGTAGTACAATCTTCTCATACATGAATTCAATACTATCCCAGTCAATTAGCCCATAAAAATTGATTAATATAAGGTTTTAGATGCAAAAAAAATGTAAGCAGTTTTTTTTAAAAAAATGTGAAGTGTCTAAACCACAGTACACCCCAGTGGCTGTCATAGAAAAGGTGCTCAGTGTAGTTAAGTTACTCAAACAGTCATGGAAATAAGTAACAAAGAAGAGATGCGGTCTACACTCCACCTTGCATACAAATAATTTCGTTTTTTAAAAAAATATATTATTTATGGGACTGTGGTCCACGGGAGGTGCTGGGGTGATGAGGCTGGCCTCGGAGAATTATATTTTATTTCATGAAACTAGGAAGAATATGCAGGACTGACTGCTAGACTGAAAAACAACATGAGATCCTTTTGGAGGTTTGGTCACAAAGTTATCCTGCAACGGCTGAGCCCTGTGTTCCCGACGACAGGCTTGTCCCCAGGGATGACTGGCAGTCGTTGGCCGAGTCACAGACCAGGGGTCCGCCAGCCTCCTGCTTCCCGCCCGAGTGAGTTTTAGGGACCGGAGGCGAGCGAGGGTGTCCTCTCCATGTAATCGCTGTGTCATGCAGGGTAATTACATGCGTCTTTGGAGACGTGGCATTTGTATGAGGACGCGTGCATTCACCAGTAATCACAAAGCAGCGATCACTGTGGCCGCGTGGAGTGGCCTGCATTTTATATTTGCCGGAATATAAAATGATGCAAGCAGTTTACGACGTCTCATTCCACAGAGTCCACATTTTGTCAGAGACGGGGCCTGCTCCCCAGTGGAGTTGATGGCCAGTTGTTAGAGAATTGGGAAAGTGCCTTTAAAAAAAAAATTTAGAGGAGACTTAGATGAAATTGAAATTTTTTTGAGATTACCGCCTAATTCTGCGAAAATGAGTTGGGTAAATACCCATTCATTTTCATGAGTGCTTTCTATACACAAAACGGTCTAAAAATGAACTCTCGATTCCTTGTGGTGTAGCCTCGCCGATTGAATTCTCGGCCCTGCCCAAGCCCTGCGGGGAGCTTAAAGGTGGAATATAGTGAAGTGGTTCACGCTGCCCCCCGGGGCAAACCTTGGGGAGGGAGCCCCGGGCGCCGGTGCCCTTGAGAGCCACGCCAGCCTCAGCTACACACAGGCGCCCGGTTTCTCTGCCCTTGGCCCCTCAGTGGGGAAGCTGGAATCTAAATGTTATCGATTCATTTTATATATAGAGGGAGAGACTACAGACAAAAGACAGACCGCAGCATGTGCCAGCTGGCCACGCTTTTCAGTTCACCCTCTAAAAGCAATTTTACCCGTCAGGAAAAGGGCAACAATTTAAGGAATTTTGGTAGGTGGGGGGGATAGCGCAGCCAATTTCAATGCTGCTTCGAAACACCCATCTTTGTGCTCACCAAGCCCTCTGCTCGGTTTAAAGAGTATAAAATACGTGCCCTCCGAAGATTTCTAGTTTGTAAAGTTCTCCAAAGGTTTATCATTTTAATTCATAAACTTCCTAGAGATGGAAAAAAACAACTGCTTTTGATTTTTAAAAAGTGGACACAAATACAAATCTGTATATTAAGCTTTCCATATTTTATCTGTAGCGTATGTTGTAAGAGACCAAAGCCGAGTGGGCCGTCTTCTTGCCTGTGGATACTTAAACGTGAATTCACAACAGGGCTGTAGCTCTTAGAAAGGGGCGGGAAGCGCAGGCTTTGTCATGCGTAGGTGGCTCTAGGACTGGGGCAAGGCCAAGTGGCATCAGAAGACTCCTACTCCGAGCAAAACATACCTGGGTATTGCCAGGCCACCCGCCATGAGCCACCCTGTGGAATACAATCTTTTCTCTTAAGGCCCTTTTCTTTGATTTAGCTAAAATAATATGAAATTAAATGATAAAACCTTTTCATCTTACTTATCCTGTAAAAACGATTAGGTTTTATTCCCGTGTTTGCTATTTATTCTACCTTTCCTCTTGCTTCCATATTTATAGTATGACATTTATCTATTTTTACAAATGACATTCAGGGAAAAGGGAACTCTGCATTCAAAATTCAGACAGCGACGTGTCTTTTGTTTTTTTATTAATAGCCTCAACTCTTTGTATCCCAAGTGTTATAAAGGCCCCTGAACTTATGTTCACAAGCTCGTGGCGGGATGGTGGCTCTCCTTCAAAGAGCTAATGGTGTCAGGGTGGCCGGGAGAACGTGTTGAAGCTCTGAAGTCGGAAAAACGAACTCTTTGCTAACGCTGTGTGATTTGGGTCAATTTGTCTTACTTTTCTCAGCTAGAAAACAGGGGAAATTATCCGTGAAACACTTACCACCCCCCCAAGGTTTTGTTAATGAGAGTCAAGTGGAAAAATGTATTCACAGGTCAGTCCGCAGTTCGCCAAGTGTCTGTTGTGCATCTCACAGGATCCCAAGGTGACCAGCTCTCGGGTAACTTACCGAAGGCACACAGCTACTAAATAGCACTCTGGGACTTGAACCCAGGTCTCCGGCCGCTAAGTCCAGTGATTTCTCCACTAATTCACAAATAATAAGGCAGGCTTTGAAAAACTGGACGTACTGTAGACATACACAGTCTTATGTAAACTTGGCCCAACTGCATTCAAGACAACTCGTAGGCCTGTGTTAATGAGACACTTGGCAAGTGCCTACACGACCTTGACAATCCAATCAGAGAACCATAACCCCAGAACTGCAGATGGATTGGATTCCTTTGCTTGATGAAAAGACCATCGGTCATGTTTTGGGCTCCTGCATTCTGTTGGAATTAGTCCCATGTGAAAAATTCTACCTTTAAAATCGAGCCCTTCTCTGGTTACCTGCTATGGTAACAGGTGTGTCGCCTTCACCACTTCGAATATATGCATTTTTTCCCCAAGTAAATTAAGAAGCGAAATTCCATTCATTGTTTACTTTTCCATCAGCTCCCTTTCTTAAAGACAGGTCCCCCTATGCACAAGGTAGGAGAAGGCATTTTGGGATGGGAGGGCCACCTGATTCTCTCTGGTCGACAGGATCGGTGGCCATGGCGGGTGGGGACAGTGCTCCAGGGACTCAACCCTGTGGGCCCAGCTTTCCAGGGCTCCCAAAGCTAAGAGAATTAATCATCTACAGTAATTTTGAGAAATTGCTTCTCTTTTTGAGGGACTGTAGAAAAATTCAATAAATGGAATTTCTTGAAAAACTCGGACAGACTTCTACATCGCCAACTGCAGGTGGCTTTCGATTGCAACGGGCAATCTGTTTAACACCGACCCGTATGTGTTGCTCGCCAATCACGTGCAAACGTCTGTGTCCTAATCTCTCACATCTGTAATCCAGTCCCATAGAATGAGTTTCCATTCTGAATGTTGAATGCGTAACTTAATTTTAAGGTTGGGTTGAAATGCCCAGGTTTTAAGAATTCATGCAAAAAAAAAAAAATTAAAAAAAAATAGAAAATTCTTTATCTCCTAAACCTTGTTCAACTCATTACCTTTAAAGCAACAGTAGCGTAAAGATTCAAAAGACATGCCCCCGGCTATGATTTCAACCAGCACCCGTGACTTCCAAGCCTCCCGCGAGCACGGC